GGGCCTAGACCTTCTTCAGAAACTTCTTCATTTCTGAAGAAGGGTCTAGGCCCGAAACGTCAGCCTTCCTGCTCCTCTGATGCTGCTTGGCCTGCTGTGTTCATCCAGCTCTACACCTTGTTATCTCTGTTGTCCATTTAATTTGTTATTTTGGAATTCATTTTTAGTGTTGTTAAAGGGTAAAAAGACATCAATTCTATTAATATAACAATCACAGAAAACAAGAATAAGGCAACCTGCTCTTTACAAAATTTTAGATTGATTCCATAATTTTTTCTCAAGTAACAGCCTGGATCACACATGCCATAGGTAGTTAGGGAGAAAATATGTCTTTTAATTGAAAACAACAAACAAAATGATCTCTTCCAAGTTCTTTTCTGCCATAACATACATGTATAACTTTGGACATACAGATTCACACAGCAATGCAACCAGGTTGGAGTTCACTTTAGTTTGCTATGATCTGTGATGCCCTCTTGTGCTGAGGGCCTGTCATTATAATTGGCCCCTTCAGGACTAAAAGATTAAGAAAATATGTTTTCAAAATATATTTTTCCCACATCACAAGAAATGTTTATGGTTAAGACCTACAGAGTACAACTGCATTCTCTAAGGCCAACTTGCTCATGTATCCTCCATTTATTGTAAAATCTACAATAGCAATTAATTATTTCGTAGAAGCCAGTCTGGTGAATTTGGTCCCAAATTGGCAAAGAATGACCACCACCAAGGCTTTCCTCCACGTGAAGATGAATATTCATTCTCTTCATCTTCATATCCCGGCTCAGTCCTCTCCAGATGTTCTATCAGGTCTAATTCATCTGATCCTTCATTGACAGATTCGAAATAAATATCAGGTTCAATGCGACGCAGAACAAAGTCCACACGTCCAGATCCCTCCATCTTTATTGGTAAATATATTCTCTTCAAAACGCGTGTGTGACCTCGAGCATATGCACTTACAAAATGTGTACCAGGAGGCAGTAATCTCCAGTACTCTCCATTAGCAACTAAGGCCAAAAATGGAAAATAAAGTTATATTCATACATGAGACAGAGCAACATGTTCCAAGAGTATGTTATATTCTTTTACAGAAATTATAAACATATTTACAATATCATTTTACATGAAAGCAAAGAGAACTTTTACCCCTATAACTTGTCCCAATTTTTCACATATACCTGAAAGGATATTGTGTCTGATTCCTCTAACTTTGATCTGTGCTCCTTTAATTCCTCTTCCTTTGTCATCTTTTACAATTCCTTTTATTCCTCGATGCACCTACAAGACCAACACAATACTGTGAATTAGTTCCAGTTCTTATTGAGAAATAGTGCTTTCCACAGCAATGGACATCCATGGATTCCATGGCACCCATGCATTTTATCCTAACAAAATGAGTACAGGACACTAGAAATCTACACACAGAACTCCACCTCCGCCCACCTCCTGTCTTCAGCATATATGCCACCTTTTGCCAGCTACAAATCAATTCTGAAGAAGGGTCACTGGACCTGAAATGTTAACTCTGCTTTTTCTCTGCAGATGATGCCAGACCTGATCCATGATTTAACTGGATGATGGTTAATTTTGCACATTTGTACTATTTTCTCATCCTATCCTCACATTCATAGAGTCATAGAGTCATACAACATGGAAACAGAACCTCCAGTCCAACTAGTCCCTGCTGACCGTGTTCCCAAACCAAACTAGTCCCACTTGCCTGAATTTGGCCCATATACCTTTAAACTATTCCTATTCATGTACTTATTCAAACTTATTCAAAATGTTGTAACTATACCTGCATCCATGACTTCCTTTGGCAGTTCATTCTACATATAAACCACTTGCTGTGTAAAAAGATTGCCCCTCATGTCCTTTCTAAATCTTTCTCCTCCCACCTTAAAAGTATTCCCCCTTGCTATCCTTATCTATGCCCCTCATGATTTTATAAGCCTCTATAAGGTCATCCCTCACCCTCCTATGCTCCAGTGAAAGAAGTCCCAGCCTATCTTTCTAACTCAAATCTTCCATTCTTGGCAACATCCTGGTAAATATTTTCTGAACCCTCTCCAGCTTCACAATATCCTTCCTATAACAGGGTGACCAGAACTGGATACAGTCCTCCAGATGAGACCTCACTAACATACTGTACAATGTCAACATGACATTCCATCTCCTATGCTCAAAGGTCTGAGTAATGAATGCAAGCATGCTAAAAGCTTTATTAACCACCCTGTCTACATGTGACATAAATTTCAAAGAATTATGTACCTAAGCCCCTCGGTTTCTCTGTTCTACAAGCTTAATTGTATAAGTCCTGTCCCTTACCAAAAAACAATACCTCACATTTACCCAAATTAAACTCCATCTGCTACAGCTCAGCCGATTGACCCAATTGATCAAGATCTCTTTGTAATCTTAGATAACCATCTTCACTATCCACTATATTCCCAATTTTGGTGTCCTCGATATGTTTAATATATAGAAAATGGTCGATCACTGTTTCAAATGTTCACAATGTCTGAGTCTCCACAGACCTAACCAATAGATATAATATTTTTGGGTATTTAAAAGATAAGGCTACTTAATAAGATAAGAGCCAATGGATGGTAACCTGTAACTAGTGGGATGCCACATGGATCAGTGCTGGGACCACAATGATTTACAATATATATTAATGACTTGGATGAGGAAAGTGAATGTGCAATTGCTAGGTTTGGAGATGACACAAACTAATTTGGAACGTGAGGAATTGGCTGACATAAAGAGTCTACAACAGCACATGTAAAGGTTAAGTGAGTGGGCAAAGACTTGAAAATGGAATATAATGTGGGAAACTGTGAGACTATTCATTTTGGCAGAAAGAAAAGAGGAGATCGATATTACTTAAATGGAGAAAGACTACAGAAAGCTGCAGCAATGAAGAATTTCACTCATAAGTCACAAAAAGCGAACATATAAGTTCACAAGATAATAGGGAAGGCAAATGGAACATTGGCCTTTATTTCAAAGGGATTAGAATATAATAATAGGTTAGACTTGCTAAAACTATACAAGGCACTGGTTAGACCAGACCTAGAATACTGCGACCAGTTTTGGTCCATTTAACTAAGGAAAGATATACTCGCTTTTGAGGATTCCAGAGAATGTTTACTTGGTTGATCATGGGTGTGAAGGAGTTTTCTTATGAGGAGTGATTGAATAGATTAGGCCTGCACTCATTGGAATTTAGAAGAATCAAAAGTGACCTTATTGAAACAAATAACATTCTTGGGGGCTTGACAGGGTTGATGCAGAAGGAGAATCTAGAACCATTGGGCATAATCTCAGAGTAAGAGGTCATCTATTTAGGAGAGTGATGAGGAGAAATTTCTTCTCACAGAGTGTGGGCAATCTGGAGTTCTTTACATAGGCATAGAAACTAGGAGCAAGTCTTTCAGCCCTTCAAACCTGCTCTGCTGTCCAATCTGATTATGGCTGATCATCAAAAGACTGTTGATAAGTGTATCTGAGGCTAAAATAGACAGATTTTTAATCAGTGAGGGAATCAACGGTTTGGGGAAAAAGATAGGAAAGTGGATTTAAGGATTATCAGATCAACCATGGTCTCGTTGAATGGTGGTGCAAACTCATGGGCCAAATGGCTTCCCTTCACTCTTACATCTTATTGTTTTATGGTCTTATGGATTTTATTGTTATTAATTTATAGAAATCAGTTTTGTTATTTTGTCTGGTCTGCATTTTAATACAGTGTAAACTCAGGAAAAGGATTCCCAGAAAACTGTCATTTGACTTAGTTTCTCAGCTTGGTGAAACAACAGTTGGCAATTGATTTCCTAGTCATTTCCATTATTTCCCCTAATCTAGAGACAATGTGAAGTGAATGCAAACTACCTAGCTTTAAATAACAATTGTTGGCTTATTTATAAGTAAATTTAAATATATAAATGTTTGGAAGTAAACTCATGTGATTTAAGATATCAACATGTCAAGTAGGAAAACAAGCTAAAATATTAAAAATGAATTGAGTTTTTGATGTTGACTTTTAATAATGTGATTTGTTAGACAATATCCCAGTATTCAATACTTGATTCAGGGATTAAATTCTTAAAACAAATACCATTTCCATGTATGTCAGGAGAGCTTCCTTATTTTGTTGCCAGGCTGGATAGAGGTCGTCTTCTGGAGGATATTTCTCACATCCAAGCTCCAATGTTGTCTCAAAACAATTTGTGTGCAGATAGTTAAAATCTTGCATCCCTGAAATTTTAAAATATATCTGATGGTACTTTAAACATGCATGAACATACACAAAAAACTGAATTGTCCAACTTCCTACTTGTTAAACTACAGTAAATATACATTTTTGACTATCCTCCTTGTCATAGTATCACTTTAACATATTAACATAACACGTTTTTTTAAGTCTCTGTCTGGAGCACTCAGTAAATAATTCACATCATTGTCAAATCAAAATCAAATCCAATATCCAGTGAATCTTTTTATAATGGTTCACCAGAGATAGGTAACACCTTCTTTCCCGCAGCAAAACTTTGAACCTTGACATTTTTATCTGCTGTAGATTTCTTAGTTTTGTTGAGTGATTTTCAAATGCTTTTTGGCCTGTTCTCATGCTTTGGTTAATTTCCCCAGAATACATTCACATAGGCTGGATGTGTAGTTTCTGAGCTTTGGTTTATTAATTAATTTAAGGGATACTCTTACTTCATGCCCATAGGAGTTCATAAAGATTCAATCCTGTGGAGTCAGCAGGAGCATCCTTAATGATTAAATAGTAACCAAGGAATTTCAGAAAGCTGCATGATCAGTGTGAAGGAGACTTCAGTGGAGTGTGATGAAGGTCCACTGAGTGTGCTGCTGGAAATTTGGTTAAAGTGGGCATTCGGTGCAAAGGGAGACAAAAGAGCTTCAACTTAAATTTACTGCAAGTAGATTATTCAACAGAGAAAGAGATGAGTAAGAGAGGATAAAAGGTGTGAATGATAGGCCTGTCTGCAGTGAGACCATTTGCATTGACCTATAGGGCTATTTTTGCTGGAGAATTGAAGGCCTAAGGGTGACCTTATAGAGGTTTATAAAATCATGAGGGGCATAAATGGGGTAGATAGACATGGCCTTTTCTCCAGGGTGGGGGTGTCCAAAACTAGAGGGCATAGGTTTAAGGTGAGAGGGGAAAGATATAAAAGGGACCTAAGGGGCAACTTTTAAACGCAGAGGGTGGTGCGTGTATTGATTGAGCAGCCAGAGGAAGTGGTGGAGGCTGGTACAATTACACCATTTAAAAGGCATGGGTATATGAATAGGAAGGGTTTAGAGGGACATAGGCAGGCCAAATGCTGGCAAATGGGACTAGATTTATTTAGGATGTCTGGTCGACATGGAGAGTTGGACCACTGTTTCTGTGCTGTATAACTCTGAGGCTTTTATGACATTTGCATACTAACTTAATATAAAAGACCATAAGGAACAAACCGATGTGGTTTAGATGAGAGCTAAGCAAAGGATATGATGAAAAGGCGGGTGGGAATGGGAAGTATGCTAGAGTCTGCAGGTTATGAAGATGAAGAGGCAAGGTAGAATGTATTCTGAGAAATGTTTAAACCTTGAACATCCCAGATACACCAATAACCTTTAGGTAATTCCTTTTACAGCCATCAACATATTGATGATGGCAGGAGGTGGACAAATAGGTATTTGTTGCTCGGCAGGGCCAAGAGAAGTCCTAGAAATACTCCGTCAAAATCATTTTTCAAATTGAGAAATTCTGTGTGGGATACAAGACATGTTTAAAGAGTCATCTAGAAATGCGGGCAAGTATTCAAACCTTTGCTGAACTTGGGGATTAAACAGAATTCAAAGAGGGGAATAAGCATTTATTTGAAAAAGGAAACATGTTTTTGGAGAGAGCTTCTGCAGAAAGCTACAGAACAGAGGGATATTGGAATCCTTGTCCATGTATCACAAAAAGTTAGCATCCAATTTCAGTGGATAATATGGAAGGCAAATGGAATGTTAGTCTTTATTCCAAAGGTAATGGAGTATAAAAGTAGGGACATTTTGCTAAAACTATACAAGGCACTAGTCAGACCCCAACAGGAATACAGTGAACAGCTGTGGGCCTCTTATCTAAGGAAAGGCATACTGGCATTGAAGGCAGTCCAGAGAAGCTTCATTAGGTTGTTCATGGGTATGGAAGGATTGTCTTATGAGAGATTGAGTAGATTGGGCCTATACTCATTGGAATTTAGAAGAATGACAGGCCAGTTTGTTGAAGCACACAGGATTCTTAGGGAACTTGACAGAGAGGATGCACAAAGCTGGTTTCCCTTTGTGGAAGAGTCTAGGACCAGAGGGCATAATCTCAGAATAATGGGTTGCACATTTAAGACAGGAGGTGAGGACGAACATTTTTTTTCTCTCAGATGGTTATGAATTTGAAGAATCCTTTGAATGTTTAGGCTGGGTCATTAAGGATATTCAAAGCTGAGAAACCAATTATTAAGCAGTAAGGGAATCAAGGTTGATGGGGAAAAGGCAGAAAAGTCAAGTTGAGGATTATCAAATCAGCCATGATTTCATTGAATGGCTGAATGGCCTACTACTGCTCCTATGTCTTATGGTCAAAGGAGTTGAGAATTCAGGAAAACTGCTATAAATACGATAAGTCAGGTTATGACCACAGAAAAGTTTTAATCCTAAAATGATAGCAGCAATAGGTGCTCATATTGCTTATTGCACAAATATATTAATTCTTGTGTGAATGCACTTAAATGTTATTCATACAATTTTTCCATAAGCTTATGAAACTGATCTACCTCCAGCAAAACTGTACCACTGTGCTCCATTTATAATGCCTCCTTTTTCAGCAAAGTTCCCTCCACATCTTTCATCTGTTTTATCCGACATTATAGGATGTGCATCAGCATATGTTTTAGCCAACATCTTGAATATCTGGAATCATAAATGCAACAAGTAATTTGTTTTACTATGAATGTACATTTTGATAAATAACATTTCAAATTTTTTTCACAATATACCTGATCGTCTGGAGTGGGTGAGAAAAGCTTGTTTTCTTCTGGAACTCTTGATAAATCAAAAGGATAACTAGTGACTAAATCCCCACCATGCAAGCTTGCAGAAAGAACAAAAGGTATTTTCTTTATCCATTTTATCACTCCCCTTGTCTCAGGTGCCACCTAAAAGTAGCAGAAAGGAAATGGTATACATTGCAACATAATAGATAATAGATAACTGTTAAATGTCTTAACATTTCATTAACTTTATCTGGTGTGAACAGTATTGTCATAAGTTTTACTTTTGCTGAAAGGATCAAAACTTGTTCAATATTATCCTAGGATCAGAGAATACTCTAGTACAGAAGAGGTCAATTGCTCCAAGAAATCTTGAGAGCTCTCTCACTGAGCTTTTTATTTAGTTTCACTCTTCTGCTCTTTCCCAATATCCAGTATCTTGCTGTACTAGCCTCCTGCTGTGCCTCTCTAGTTTTCTGAATACTATACTGTAACTGCAATTAAGAGCCTACAAACAAGTATCACCATCAGCAGCTTGGAAATCAGAGATGAATGTGGATTGAGTGAAAAGTTGGATGGAGGAATAAGTAAAAGGATTGCATTATTTTCAATGCTTTCAGCTACATCTTAGTGGTGATCATTCCAATGATGGTGATGGCTATATTCTTCAAGGTGTAAGGTATGGTGGTGTACAGAACTAAAGTCCACAGAGACCTACAGGCATCCCAATCTATTAGAGAGAAAGAGAGAGAGAGAGAGAGAGAGAGAGAGAGAATCTGTAATGTGTAGTCTGAAGATAGACACTCAATAAGGTTGAGATGTGAGGCCAATAGATACATATAGTATTGTTCTATCTTGATAAATAAATATAAGTAAAGGAAAATTTCGCAGAATGCCCATCCAGAACTAATAGATAGAAAGTAGGGCATTGATGAGTTTGTTGGTATGTGATCATCCATGTCCTATTTTCCCCTGCATGTTCCACAGTTAATAAATAGTCCTGCTGTTGGCTTTATTCTGCTCTACACTAGTTGCTGATTGGTGCTGCCTCTTCTGGTTAAATGTCACCCTTGCCTTGCGAGAATTTGATGCTTGGTGAATGATGTGTGTGCAGCATAAAGCAGTGTTTGAAGACAGTGGTGCCATTGGTTGGTTATGACATTTGAAGAAACATTCACTAACATTATCCATGCAAGTGTGGCATTCAATTTCTTGGGACACTGCATCCAGGTCCTCGGAGTTAGATACGTGGTATCCAGTAACACCATCTTCGTAAAGTTTGTTTGATTATTTTCTGCCTCCTTTTGGATATCAATATCACCCTTCCTCCCCACTTCTCACACAATAGCCTCCAATAGTGTTTTAAAGTCTCAGAGCCTGATCTCTGCTACATTGAACTGAAGCTGTCTTCAAACAGTCAAACTTACTTCTCACTTCTCACAATTTTAAAGCTTTGCTCTAATGAGCAGCCACTCAAACGCATGCTTAGCACTGGCAATTTCAATTAGCAGTCATCACGAAACTTAGGGGTAGTTTATCAGAAGAAACAGGTGTATGATATAATATTGCAGTGTCTCAACAAGCATCACTGAATCTGATCAGTTGTTGCTTGTTCTGCTCAAATACACCTGCAGAGGGTGTTGCACTGAATCATATTCCTGATGAGAGTAAGTCCACACACTAAAGTATCCAAAAATTTTGCAGGTGATTGACAGGGAGATGAAAGGCAAGCTCCATTTCTTTACCACTGACTACAATGCTTGATTGGCTGTGGAACATACGGGGGAAAATAGGATATGGATGATCACACTACAGCCAATTGATCATTGGCCTGTTTTCCATCTATTAATTCTAGATGGGCATTTTGCGAAATTTTCTTATATTTATTTATCAAGTTAGAACAAATGCTATATGTGGTACAAAGGGCATAATGCTCTTTTACTTTGGGCTAAATGTTCATTGAACTGTTGGCAAATTTCAGGTTCCTAAGCCAGCCATGTTTTTGGATTTTCATTTCATATGTAATAACGTTTGCATAAATGTACACATCACAATAAAAACAATTACTCAAGTGACGGTGTCACTATAATAATATGAAGTCTGTATCACAAAAGTAAAAGCCAGAAATGCTTATTCAATAAACAGAAATTGTAACCACTTTACCTTATTTTCCCTTCCTTTTGCTCATTTTTCTTAGTTGTACTCGTTAACTAATTTATAAACAATATCACATTAACTGAAGAAGAGTCACTAAACCCAAAACATTAACTGCTTTCTCTCCAAAAATGCTGCCAGACTTGCTGACGTTTTCTACAAATTTCTGTTTTGTTCCACTTTATCTATTCCTTGATTATCTTCATTTAAAAATAATTAACCTTATTTTCAGCATTCCCTAGTTTGCACTGTCTAGTTTCAGTTTGAGAATGAAGGTAGAAAATGCTCAAAGGTCATAACGCATTCATAGGTTGTATTGATTAATCATGACACCGAGCACAATGTTCAATATAAAAAAACTATGGCTCACAATATTAGTAAGCATGGACTTTCCACTCCAATTCAGCCTGATCTGAGCTTGGAGAGTGAAATCTTTAGAGCAGACGTTCTACCAGCTCCCCATTTGTCACTGTCAATATAAGATGATTTAGCATTAAAATCACCTAATTTGCTTAAATTGGGTTGGGATTAGGCACTCATCTCACCTTGTGCTTACTGCACAACTGTTGCAGCAAGTTGAAACTGGTACTTAAATTTTCATCAAGGTCACAGCAGCCTTACACCCTGAATCATGTTCACTTGGAATTAGATTCAAACAACACATATTAATCTGAAGGATGAGTACATTGAAGTATGAGTACCATACAGGGTAAGTACATTGCACCTGAATATGACAAATTAAAACTCTCATCCCAAAGTTAAAGGGTGCTGGGCAGCTTCATTTTCTTCCTTTCATTTGTTCTTATTTATTCACAACCATTTATAACACATTCAGTGTAGAGAATCCGAGAATGGAAACTACCATTGCAAGGCTTGTCACTGGGAATGTCAAGTCAGAAACAATCTTTGCATTCTCTGAAAGCAACTTAACAGCTGCTGTATGAAGGAAAAAGATGCAATCTGCAATCAACTAGTGTGGCCTATAAATGTAAAACAAGATTCAGCATTGCTATCAACAGAATAGGATAAAAATAATTTAATCCAGTACAACATGTTATCAGATCATACCTTACCATTCCAATATGATCTTGGAATTGGGATGTGATCAACACGGCCTCCTCTCTTTCTTCTTTCTTGATAAAATATTGTCGTTAAATCTGGAAAATTCCTGTTCAAATCAATACTCTGAACGTTTAACCGTCCGGTACCCCATCCATTGTACCCAGGACCCTGCATTATTAGGAAAATTAATTCATTAGACATTATTACAACAACAGGTATTGTTTCCTTTGAACAGTGATAAATGAGTTCAAAGTCATTATGTTAGTCATTGGCTTTTGTTCGTGCCATCAGCTCTCCTAGCCCACACTCTCCATCAAGTCATTCAATGCTCTATTTATACCCAAATTCATACCAAGTTCAATTTGACCATCCCCCAGATCTCCCTTCTCCACATGCTTCAACTCCTTAAATATTTCAAAGTTAACATTTTCATCATTGTCTTCATATTCCGCATGGCATATCATCCCTCCCTTTTGAGGAACTTTGAACTTGGCTGTAAGTAAAACCAGCCCAACCAGAAGTGATAGCCAAACTCTTTTCACGTTTATAAAAGTAAAAGTGCACGCCAATGATTATTCCTATTGGACATGAAATCAGTTGTGTTATATAATGCCAGGCAAACTGGCTACCACTAGTTTAAACACCAGTGAGGCTAGGCATTCCACCCTACACCAGCACCCTTCTTAATGCACTCTGTTGTTCATCCTGTGCTCCTCTAAGCCTACAATGGGTTATTGCCTTGTCAGCCAACTAGGATTTACAATCAGGAATTCTCCCTAATCTTTCTGTCGCTCCTTCTTTTCCTTTAAGATCTCCTTTAAATTTCACATCTTTGACAAAACTGGTTAGTCACTGTTCATAACATCTTTTTTGATCTGCATTCAATTTTTTTCACGACTTTCTGAAGCAGATGGAGATGCTAAATAAATTTAAATTGTTGTTAATGGATGCTTAATCTCTAAAAATTCCAGAAGCTTTACAGAATTGGTTTGTATAATGTTGCTGTTAATTCAAAAGCAATATTAACCTTATGTACTGGGTGACAGAATGTCTTGTAAAGCTATTATTGCTACACTGTTGACCAAAATATCCTTATGTACACTATTTGTTCAAAGTAGATACTCATACATCTATGACAGTCATCTAAAATCAAAACTGGCATGGTTTCTGATATCCAAAATTCCATTTTGCTCATCAAGAATTTCAGGGCAGTAACTCTGAAAAGACATTGTTCCCCATAGACCATAGTTGTATTATATTGTAGCCTGTTCTTGCATGACCTTATGATTAGCAATTATTTTAGCTGGAGTAATCTTTGGATCTGAATATGCATTAATGACTTCTGCATTGAGAAAGCATCAAAAATGAAATCAGAACTGTCATTAGCTAGAATGGAGTTTTTTTTATCTATGTGGGAGAAAATGAAGCATAAATTTAGCAATCTCAAAGGCGATAACACAAGCAAAATGGAAAAAGACTCCTTTTGAAGTCCAATATCTTGACTTCAAATGAAAATTCAGCAATTCTAACCAGCATTTCATTTCAATACTAGCTCAAAAACAAACCTCTTTGTTTTGTAGCCAGCCTGGTGTCAGTGTGCTATTTTAAACTTAAAGGCATTTGAAAACTATTTTCTGCACTTGTTACAGTTATTATTATGACATTTCTGTCCCTGATATGAGAGTTGGGAAGATACGCTGCAGTGTTTGTGTATATAATTTGGAAGTATGCGGCTAGTGGTGGCTCTCAAGTAATTGCTGGGAGTCTGACCGAATCATTATGTTTATTAACGGGTTAGATGACAGAAATAGACAGCCACATATCCAAGTTTGCTAATTGCATAAAGATTGTTGGCACACTAAATAGTCTTCACTATAAAGCCCTAGTTTACTCATTATTTGCTTGTCTATAAAGTGACATGAATAGATTGAGTGGGAAAAAAAACTGTGGCAGATGGAACTCAATGTAAGTAATTGGTAACAATTTGGGAGCAAAAGAGATGTGTATATTTGAAGTAGTGAAGAGCAGGGAGCACAAGAGGTCGAAAGAGATTTAGGAGTATACATATACAGAAAATTAAAATGTGATGGTTGTAAGCAAAACAATCAAGATTGCTAATGTGATGTTATCTTCTGTATCTAAGATCTGGTTAGTAGCCAACAATGTTTTATTTTCAAAGTAGATAAAATGTGACATCCAGGCATCCACTAAGAGAATAAAGCCATAAGATTCCACTGGCTTAAACAAACACTGTTTTACTGAACAAGTTAGAGCAGTAATACATTTTATAGTAGAAGTATAACTTATTTTTAACGTGGGTAATATACTAGGATTGAATATACCACAGTTCATATAAAAATGGTAAATGTAATTGATACAAATCCCATGGATTTCACAAATACTCCCCTTGCTCTCCAACATTAATGACATGGGATGTCTTCAAATCTCCATTAACTTCATGAGGGAATACAATTTTTCACTTTGGCCAATGCAGTCCTAAAACACCTCCACGGCCTTCTGTGGCAATGAATTCCATAGATTCACCACTCTCTGGCTGAAGAAGTTTCTCCTCATCTCTGTTCTAAAGGGTCCCTTTACTCTAAGGCTGTGCCCTCAGGTCCTCGACTCTCCTGCCATTGGGAACATCTTCCCAATGTCCATTCCGTCCAGGACATTCTGTAAGTTTCAATTAGATCCCCCTTTATCCTTCTAACTGCATCGAGTACAGATCCAGAGGCCACAAACGTTCCTTATATGTTAAGCTTTTCATTATTGGGATCATTCTCATGAACCTCCTCTGGACCCGCTCCAGGGCCAGTACATCCTTCCTGAGATATGGGGCCCAAGATTGCTCACAATACTCAAAATGTGGTCTGACAAGAGCTTTATAAAACTCAGAAATACATCCCTGTTTTTATAATCTAGTCCTCTTGAAATAAATACCAACGCTGTATTTGCCTTCCTAACTACTGACTCAATCTGCAAGTTTACCTTAACAGAATCCTGGATAAGGACTCCCAAGTCCCTTTGCACTTCAGATTTCTGAATTTTCTCCCCATTTGGAAAATAGTCCTCTATTCTTCTTACCAAAGTGCATGACCTCACACTTTCCCACGTTGTATTCCATCTGCCACTTCTTTGCCCACTCTCCTAATCTGTCTAAATCCTTCTGCAGCCTCCCCACTTCCTCAATACTATCTGTCCCTCCACCTATCTTTGTATCATCTGCAAATTTAGCCAGAATGCCCTCAGTTCCTTCATCTAGATCATTAATGTATAAGTGAAAAGCTGTGATCCCAACACTGACTCTTGTGGAACACGACTAGTCACTGGCTGCCATCCTGAGTAGGACCCCATTTATCCCCAGCCTCTGCTTTCTGCCAGACAACCAATCTTCTATCCATGCTAGTACCTTGTCTCTAACACCATGATGGAGAATGTAAGAAAAATGCATAATAGACAGAATGCAATCACTTTCTGAAGTTAATGAATTTAATGTAGAGTGCTCGAGGCTGTAACATACCTAAGCATAAAATTATGTATTATTCTGCCAGCTTATGTTGTGCTTTGTTCGAATACTGCAGCAGGCCAAGGACAGAAATGGAAGCCTGAGATCATTGTGATTTACTAAAATGGCAAGCAATTGGGAGGTCAGATTCATTCCTATGGACAGAACGGAGGAGTTCTATAGCCCAGTCAGCGCTTGGTCTCGCCAGTGCAAAGGAGGCTGCTTTGTGAGCAGTGAATGCAGTAGACTGAATTGAAGGAATCGCAAGTAAAACACTGCTTCACCTGCAAGGTGTGTTTGGGACCTTGAACTGTGAAGAGAGAGAAAGTGAATAGGCAAGTGTTACACCTTCTGCGCTTGCATGGTAGGCTGCCATTGGGGAGTGAGGAAGTGATAACAGTGATGGAGGAGTGGACCAGAGTTTTAGAGAGAGAACGGTCCCTGCAGAATACTGACATTAACAATGGCAGGGAGATGAGTTTGATAGTGCTATCCTGTTAAAGGTGATAGAAACAGTGGAGGATGATCTTTTAATTGTGGGGTTTGGCAGGGCAGAAAGTGAGACAAAGAGGCATCCTATCATTGTTCTTGAAAGGAGGAGAAGGGGTGAGGACACAGGGGCAGGAAATGGGTTGGACACAGCTCAAGGCCCTGTCAACCACAAAATGGGGACAATCCTCTGTTTATGGAAGAGATCATATCAGAGCTGGTGCAGTGGAAGGTGGTATTATCCGAACGGATGTGGCAGAGACAGAGAAACAGGGAGAATGAAATGGAATCCTTGCAGGAAGCGGGGTGTGAGGAAGTGTAGTTTTGGAAGCTGTGGGAGTTTCTGGGCTTTTCATGAATAAATGGGCCTCTGCCTTTGTTAGAAATGTAACAATAACCCCTTTCCTTTCAGTTCTATAGAGGTTCTCAAAGTATAACTCAAAACTTTAACTGTTTCTCTCTCCACAGATGTGACAAACCTACTGATTCAATGAGTTTCTGAAGTTACTGAACTTCTCTGTTTTTGTTTCAGATTTCCAGCATCCACAGTATATTGCCTTTAGGCTCTTGGAACATAACCCACTGTCCCCATACAAAAGCTTTCTTTGTTATATTCACTACGATACGGTTGCGACTCAGCACTTCGTGCATGGAATCTACATTGTGTCTGCCTTGAGCACACGCCGACATTTTTCGCCCTGTCTGTCTCTTTTGAACTCCTGTTGAGTGAATCACTCCCCTCAACTCTACTGAAAACATTGCCCCTCCCCTATCACTAGGCACTGAGCAACTCATGGAGCTGCCCATTCCATGGATGTTACAAGTCATGGAGTTGACTTGCTCAGTATGGGGCAGTTAGGTACTTGAGTGACCAGTGCCAAGCTTTCTGCAGAATCCAGGGCCCTGGCAGGGCAACCCCAAGAGGAGCCAACCAATCCAAAGCTGGTGCTCTTCTTGCAGGTTCAGGAGCTCTGGCAGCTACTGGCATACACTCACCAGAGGCCCAGCATTACTGAGAAACACAAGTCACCAGGAAGTGAGAGCAGGTTGGAAGTGGGTATTATTTTCCCACATAAAAGCTTCAGTTTGCAGGGCTGATGGAGAGACAGTATTATGGCTATACATGAGGCTACCCACCCCAGAATTAATGGGCCTCATTGGAATTGGGTCCCAATTTACTACTTTTCTGCCCAATTAAATGCCCTGTGCCATCATTCTCACCACGAGGGAGGCAAATAATCATTGTCCACTGTCATCACTGATTCACTTGATGTGCGTGTGACTCTAGGCAAAGAATTCCTAACAATTTGCAACACTGGTATGTCCTGAAAAGAACACTGGAATGTCCTTTGCCTCTTGACTATACCATGGATGGTGCTGAAGAGTAGGTTCCTGCAGTCCAATCAATTTGTCATCACAGGGCCCATGGTATGACCAGGGTGAGGTTTTACTGTGGCCCTTGAATGTAGTGTATTTCAGGGATTCAATCTCCAAGTCATTTTATGCAGTGATTTTGACAAAGGAATCATTGATTGCCATTCTTGGGTATATATATTTCAACATGCGAAGTAGAAGAGTCTTTCTACCTGCACTAGTATCCGTTTTGCATATAGGCTCTGCTGAGCCTGTATCCACGGGAATATAATCAGGATGCTGGCAAAGATTTCTGCTGGTACCACTGTGCACAAGTCTGCTCATGTTGTGTGTCAATGATCTAGTCTTGCACAACACTGACAGAGTAGCTTGGCTAGACATTCCGTGGATTGTGCCTCAATGTTGTTTGTTACATGGTTTGATTATTTAGAATGCTGTACCCGTCTGACTTTCTCATGGCATTGAACCAGGTGTTTCGGGATTTTATTGACCCTTCAAATGTTGACCATATTTTTTCCAGCTTCTTAAGGTGGTCATTAGTCAGACCTAATGTGTTTTATCTGTGTAGGTCTCTGTTGCCGATAACAATTTGAATTTTAATGGCTTGTTTATCCAGTTTGGAAATACTGAGGTCCAAAAAAACACAGCTCGGGAACTCAGCTGCTGTCAGAACAAAATAAATTCAGATTGAAGAATTGTTGACTTTCAACTGAATGTTGGACATTTTGTTCTTGTCATGCAGCTTTTCCGAGGACTTTTAATCTTATCTGGGGCTTTTATAAGCTGTTCAAGTTTCTTCCAGAGTTTTACGTGTCTTCCAGTACCCTTAGTAGCCATTGCCTCAGCTGGGTCACTGGTTATTGCTTGACTCCAGTTGTGGTACTCATTTTGTTTTCTCTCAGTTTTACTTCTTAAATGCCATCCATGAAACAGGAATTTTACTGGAAAATGGGAGTGGGTTGCTTCAAAAGTTCAGAAGAATGGTGAGAAAAGTTTTTTTTAATCAGGCTTCTTTCAGCTTTTAAAAGCTTATAATGGATGGAATATTCTTCTAAGTCAGTCTATCTGTTTAGATTTAGCAGTTAGTGAATTTTCCCATCCATGAGATTCTACTTAAAATCTCTCTGTTGATCCTGGTGTTTAAGTTCTGTTCCTGATTAATCTTTGCAGCAGACAGACCTTGCGCTAGGATGTTTTTAAAATTGCTCAGATTTGAACAATCTTACTGGGTCCAAAAGCCTGCTGCCTAGATAGAGAGATGCAGTGCTAGAATGAAGGTACAGAGTACAGAACCTCTATAAAGCTGGCAAATCTACCCACACAGTGAAGTCTTGATATTGTTCTACTTTCATAGCAGTTCTTTCTTCCTACTGTGAATGAAGGATTAACTCTTGTACATATTGGATTCAAATCTTCAAAACCATGTTACTACTATTCAAAAATCAGAAAAAATACCAGAAGCCATAAAGTACCACCAACTGCCACCATATTACAATCTTTTCAACTCAACATAATTCCTATACAAGGATTATTGAAATTATAAAGTGGATTCATTAGTTGAATACAAGACTTTTAAAATCATTCAAGGGATATGGGCTTCACCAGATGAGCCGGCATTTATTGTTCATCTTTAATTGCCTTTGAGTAGGTAGTGGTGAACTGCCTTCTTGAACTGCTGCTGTACATTTGGTATAGGTACACGCACAATGCTATTAGGGGAACGGGTGTCCAGGATTTCGACCCAGTGACACTGAAGGGATGGCAATATATTTCCAAGTCAGGATGGTGATTGGTTTGGCGGGGATCTTGTAGGCAGTAATGTTCTCATATATCTGCTCCCTTATTTCTTTTTGTTGGTCGTTGGTTTGGAGGGTGCGATCTAAGGAGTCTAGGTGAATTTCTGCAGTGCATCTTGCAGATGATACACACTGCTGGTACCGAGTGTCCATGGTGGAGGGAGTGAATGTTTGAGAATGTGGTGGCAATTAAATGGGCTGTTTTGTCCTCAGTGGTGTCAAGCTTCTTTATTCTTATTGGAACTGTACTCATCCAGGCAAGTGAGGGGTATTCCATCACATTCCTGACTTGTGTCTTGTAGATGGAGATAGGCTTGGGGATTCGAAAGGTAAGTTATTGACTGCAATATTCCTAGTCTCTGACCTTCTCTTGTAACCACAATAAGCATATGGCTGGTCCAGTTCAGTTTCTGGTCTCCCAGGAAGTTGATACTGGGGGATTCAGTGATAGTAATATTTTGGATGTCAAGGGGTGATGGTTAGATTGTATCTTATTGGAAATGGTCATTGCCTAGTATTTGTGTAGTATGAAGGTTACTTGCCACTTTTCACCTCAAGCCTGGATATTGTCCAGGTCTTTCTGCATTTGAATGTGGACTACATCAGCATTTAAGCAATTGCAAATAGTGTGAACATTGTACAATTATTGGTGAACACCTCTACTTGATGAAGGGAAGATCATGTGCTGATAATAGTCACTGGGGGCTAAGTAGTCCATTTTATGTCAACTTTTGCTACTTATAGATTGTCCGTGCATCATGGATTAATACAGCGTTTCCTATTGAGATGGGCAATGATTGATAGTAATTGATATACCCTTTGGTGTTTGCACATAATAACACAAAAGGAACTTGAAACAAAATTGGTGTCATTGTCTAGATCAGAATAAGAGCTGAATGCGCATTCATAAACATAACAGGAAAAATGATGAGGAAAACCTGAATTGATTTGGAACAATGTGTGTTCAATATATGTACAAAGTAAGAAATATACATTCACATATCTGCAGCAGGTAATTAACAAGGCAGATGGAAAATTGTCCTTCATTGTTGGAGGGATGGAGTTTAAAAACAGGGAGGTTACACTGCAGCTGTATAGGGTGCTGGTGACGCCACACCTGGTGTACTGTGTACAGTTTTGGTCTCCTTAGTTGAGAAAGGATGTACTGGCACTGGACAAGGTGCAAAGGAGATTCACCAGGTTGATTTCAGAGTCGTGAAGGTTAGCTTATGAGGAGAGACTGAGTAGACTGGGACGATACTCATCGGTATCTGGAAGAATGAGGGGGGATCTCATATAAACATACAAAATTATGAAGGGAATAGAAAAGGTAGAAGCAGGCATGTTGTTTCCACTGGCGGTGAAGCTAAAACTAGGGGGCATAGCCTCAAAATAAGGGAAAGCAGATTGAGGACTTAGTTGAAGAGGAACTTCTTTACCCACAGGGTTGAGAATCTGTGGATTTCCCGGCCCGGTGAAGTAGTTGAGGTTACCTTGGTGAATATTTTTGAGGGAACGATAGATTTTTGAACAGGAAAGGAATTAAGAGTTATGGTGAGTGGGCGGATAAAGTGGAGCTGAGTGCACAAAAACAGCAGCTATGATCTTATTGGAGGCGGAGCAGGCTCGATGGGCCGGATGGCCTACTCCTGCTCCTATTTCTGATGTTCTTGTGTTCCTATCAGGAGTAAGTGGGTAAATTTAAAAGAAAACATATTCAAAGTGAGGAAACGTTTGGACATGTGGAAGGGGACAGATGGAGGGAGCTTCATTAGGTTGTTAAAGTTAGGAAGGCTACAGGCCATTCATCTATGAGAGATGAAAGTGTGGAGAATCTGTACAAACACAAAGGAGAGGAGATGGTCAGAAAAACATGAATTGGATCTAGGCAAGTTCAGATTGGGCAGGGGGTGGAATAAGGTCAAGATGAGAGGAAGCAAGTAACAAATGAGGAGAAAGATAAAGTTTTCAGTCTATTTTGTATTTCATAAGTTACATTTTATGGCCTTAGAAAGGAAAAAACAACCTACATGAAAATCACTGCAATAATATAATCCGTTTTGTATGGTATATTAGAGCTTATTGTGATTAATACCACGGAAGATTTCCAGGTATTTATGCTGTAAGAAGATCAAAAAGAAAAACAAAATTACCTCTTCAGATGCTATTTCGTAGCCATCAGGATTCATTGAAGGAAGTAGATGGATTCTGGTATTATTGATTAAAGCCTGAATTCTTTGGTTTCCACTTAAATACTCAGAGCACAAATACTGTGCAAGATATAGCAGTAGCTCTCTCCCCAGTGCTTCATTGCCATGCATGTTCGCAACATATTTAAATTCTGGTTCAACTGAGAAAGAAACATCATTATTTATTATTTTCCATTTTTAAATAATCATACTAATAATACATTCTACTTCTTTTGTTAATACAAGGATACTTTAACCTAAACTTGCAGGATTAGATCTGCAGTGGATCTTATGTTTGAAGTCAAAGTCAATGTCAATGTGTTGTACCCAATCAAATGACTGACTGGAATCAATCCGTTTCCCACCAGGTAGATTAGATTAGGTTCATCCGAAAAGATTGACTTAATTGTTTTTTAAAAAAATGCAGGGCAGAACTTACTAATGTAAAATTACAGACCGAATGACAACTATTTTAAGACACCACTCAGTGAAAATGGTGAATTGTTGGCTTTAAGATATTAAAGGCGAGGAGGGGGTGATGTTGGACGTGGGGATCTGTTACCTTACGCAGCTAAATTATCACGTAGATGGCAATAGCATGTGCTCAATCCCCATACCAGCTATGCTTGTTCATGGAGCCTGCATCTCACGTTATGCCACACTTGTGCAGTGATACCCCTCACACTACATATAACCAATCATCACTGTCTAAGGGAGAGGGATGGCTATGGTCTTTTACAGATTATGGCTCACTACTTATGTACTAAAATTTAAAATTCTACCTCACAGTTCCAACACATCACCTTTCGGAGCCATTTAAACTTGTGTTATCCCAAATCAGCTCCTCAACAAGCATACCCTAAACAACAAGCCTGGGGTTAATTAACAAACAAATGTAGCACAACTTAACCCGAAGGAAGGAGTCGGATAATATTGGCTTCTCAAGTGCTGTAAAAGGCAGAGGGAGGAGAGGTGGGTGACCCATTAAGTTATTGAAGGTCTGCTACTTTTAGAAGCATGTTATGGACCAGAGCAACAGGATAGACTGTCCTAAGTTCCTTCCCAACCTTTCCCTCCTTTCTGATTTCATTAGTACCCCTGATCTCCTGCAATATCCTCATTGGTTCCATTGACTGCACAAGGCCATACTCATGGGAGCTTAACTGCAACCACTTTCTCATAATTTCTCCTCTCACGCACTTGCCATTTTGCCACTCTAACTCAATGCCAAGCAGGAGATAGTGAGCAATTATTTAAATGACCGTCTAATGTTAATATCTTTAAGATTTCCTTGTCCTGGGTAGTGGTAGTGCCAGGTTTGTCCCAGGTGCATTGCACTTAAATCCAAGTCAATGCAAAGTGAAACCTGTCCAGTGTAAAGTGAGCAACTAATCTATACTGCCACTTGCTCACCAAGCTGGTTAAATTAAAATTTCCCAACTGCAACAGAGAACATAGATAGAACATAGAACAGTACAGCACAGTACAGGCCCTTCGGCCCACGATTTTGTGCCGAACTTTTACCCTAATCCTAAGGTCTATCTAACCTCCACCCCTACCTTATACTATCATCCATATGCCTATCTAATAGCCGCTTAAATGCCCCTAATGAGGCCGACTCCACTACCCTCTCCGGCAATGCATTCCACGCCCCGACCACTCTCTGAGTAAAGAACCTACCTCTGACGTCTCCCCTATATCTACCTCCACTCACTTTAAAACTATGTCCCCTCATAATAGCTACCTCCACCCTAGGAAAAAGTCTCTGGCTGTCTACTCTATCTATACCTCTGATCACTTTGTACACCTCTATCAAGTCACCTCTCATCCTTTGTCGTTCTAAAGAGAAAAACCCTAGCTCTCTCAACCTTTCCTCGTAAGACCTTCTCTCCAGTCCAGGCAACATCCTGGTAAATCTCTGCACCTTTTCCAACGCTTCCACATCTTTCCTGTAATGAGGCGACCAGAACTGGACACAATACTCCAGATGTGGCCAAACCAACAACAGATACGCTGAAATCAAAGGGCAAGAGAAGAAACAGATATTAGGAATAAGTGAGCTACTTACGCAATTCATGTTCGCCAGGATTACTTGAAAATTCAATCACATAAAGGTCTTTGCCATCAAAACTACGGCCAATGGTGTACATTGTTGTGATAGACGAGCACACAGATACAGTACGTTTCAGTAATTTTGTCATCTCTGCATAACTGTGGTATTTGAATTGTAATGTGGAAAAGAGTACTTCTGATTCATCTGTCAAACTTGAATCTGTCAAGAAAAGTTACCGTGGTTTATGTTCAAAGCTTGGTAAAAGTTTTGTAAATTCCTGCTGTCCTCATGTCAGCATTGCTTCTTTTTCCAATTTCTTCAAATCTTTGATCCTTCCTCTGATAGTAACAGTCTCTCCCTAACAAATGTGATCAGATCCCTCATGATTTTTAGGACGTCTATCAAGCCTCTCCAGTCCATCTACACAACTGGAGTTCCTCATCTTTGGAAGCATTCCTGTGAATCTTACTCCTCTCACTTTAATATCTTCACATTCTTCCAAAAGTATTACAACAAAAACTGGATGCATTATTCTAGTGGCAGCTGAATCAGCGTTTTATTCTTTTTTATTTATGAAACCCAGGGTCATATGTGCATTATTAACCGCCTTCCCAAATGCCCTGCCATATTCAGTCATTTGTTAAAAATGGTATTCTCTTGCGAAATCTGTTGTGGCTTTCCTAAATTGATTCACATTTGACCGAGTGACTAGTAATTTTGTTCCAAATTATTGTTTCTGTTTACATACCACTGACATTAAACCAAGTGGCTGGTGCCATTCGTTCACCACATGCTCAGAAATTAAATTTATTTATTTCATTTGAGCCAACTTTGTAAAGCGTTGTGTTGTGGACAAAACCTGCCTCAGTGTGATAGGAATGTATACTACATCAGTGAATTAGAGCTTCTTACTGGAAATGCATAAGTTAGCTCCCGCTGCATAATATTCAGGCTCAAACACAATCAGATACCTACCTTGGTATTTTCCTACAGGATCATAACAACCCTCCTCTTCACCAACAAAGAAACGATCACAGTCCATGAAATATGGCCATGCCATTTGAATCAGTTCAAACGAGTGTTGACAATCTCTTTTAAGTGCTTCACAAGCATATCGACAAGGCTTCACAATCTTATTGTTCTCACAACGTGGAGCAAGGATGGAACAGCCCATCAACCTGAGATCTGTGTTACATTCTCCATTCAGCAAGTTGTCCAAGACACTGATAAGAACATACTCCGCACTCATCTCAGTTTCTGCTCTTGATATTTGACCAATCAAGTTCGGAAACATTATCTTTGAGTAAGATACGCCTGAACAGTAATTTAGATAGTTGTTCATACACTGTGCTGCAGAAACACAAACCAGAACATGTTAGTTGAATTAGTTGATCATTGCTGTGCTCTGAGATAAGTTACAATGACAGATCGATTATGTCGTCATTTTAATCATAAATCACAAAATAAGCAGAAATCAAAACATGTTTTGCTTTGTATTATTTTGTCAGACAAAGTGAGCACTAAGCTTTGTTTCGCCTTCAGATGGCTTGGTGCTTGGATTTGTACTGATAGTAAAACTACCAGTGTACACTAACTTTACCTTGTGAAACTGGAGCTACCTCTAGCATCCTCACCTATACTGTGAATGATGGAAATTGAGACCTTGCTCTCAGTGATTTCATGCTCTTCTACAATGTGTGCTGTCAAATGGTCCGTGAAATGCTAGAAATCTCTTGGAAAGCACTGAATGGATGAGAACTGCTCCCTTTTTTGCAATACCCACCAGAGAACTTGTTAATGAGGTGAAACCTGTTTTTTAATAGCATACTAAATCACAACTGGTGTTAAAAAATGTCTTTGCCTCTGGAAAATGAATTTTATATTTGCACAAGGTAACTTTTTTAACTTGCAGATTGTACCTCTTAATGTGGTTCTTTTAGTCTGTGAAAGTACTCACAGTATTTTCCAGAGAATCTGCAATGCTTCCAGTTTCTGCAAGAACACACATTTTACATTGCCATAATGCAGATTTTCAGGTACTTAACTATTGTAAATAAAGTTTGAAGTGCAGCAAGCAGAGCTGCCCAGTAATGGATATAATATTTGCTGCTGTAAAGAAAGGATTGTCAGGAATGACCCTGACATGTGACCTCCTGCCTCCTCTGATCCAGCAGAAGCACAGTCCCAAGGCTTCTTTTTTAAGGAGGTAAAATCTGTACAATGAAAGTGCGACTATGTTTTAATATTTTTTAACAATTGTTATATTTCAGCTTCTAATTTGTATGCTCTTGTACTTACTACATTTCCTGTTAAATTTATAAAAGGTGATAAGTAATCATTGTATTTTACCATCTGATTGGCTGCTTGTGAGAATTCTTCAATGTTATTGCTTATGCAGTTGATGGCAACAAAATTGTTGAATGTCTAACAAACCCCTTGATTTAGCCCCAGATGCAAACAAATGTCATCAAAAGGGAAACCCATGTCCCACAAATCACTAGATCATTGTCGAGGCTGCTTTCTTTCAGTTCAGTGCTAACAGCTATTGCTTCACTACTGACAACAACATCCAAGTCATTGGGCTGAATTTTATTTTTTTTTGGCTATGTGCCAATTCCATTAGCATTTTTCAATGAGTTTTTCACCCCAAGGCCTATTAAGATTCATCGCTGTTATCTGAGCAAAACTACTTTATAAACTACATATTGTCCCATACTGTCCCCATCATCTGATTCAAGCTTCATCTTACTACGCACTGTTCTCAGAACAACTCGCTACTCACCAGATATCTATCAAAAGATCAACATTCCTTGTGCCTGCAACCCCTCACTGGCTGCATCACGACACAGCAGTCACAAAGACAAGTGCTTACATCATATAGCCAGCATTGCTGACATTCCCTCACATATACAATCCCATTCTCTCACACTAGTCATTGTTTTAATTAGCAGGCCTCCTACTGTATCTGTTCTTAGCTACGTCCCTTCCAAACCACTTTTCTACGTCACGTCTACTCTTGTCTCCAATGCCCACTGTAGTATGTCATTGTCTAGAACATCACAGATAGGCAAGCAATCAGACAAGTCCAAACATGAAACTTTATTTACAGCAAGCAAAATCAAACACAAATAAACCAAATAGAGGCTACAGTTCAGCCCCACAATGCAAACCAAATGCTAGCATGATAACTAATAACTATTCTAAAGTCCATGATGGTCTGCTGCACCCAGCTCTTATTTATTGGAACTGGGTGTGTCAATCAGGTCCTGCCTGGCTTGTTGTGCCTGACACAGCTTAGCTCTGTTATGAACAACAAGAGCCTCTTTCTTCCCCCATGTTCTCATCCTTCTTCTCCGAAGACTATTCCCATTTCCTCGTTCCTCAGTATCTATCACATTGCATTGCTGCCTCCTCCAATTGACTGTGCTGCATCATTATGGATCAGCACGTCTGTCTAGGCTATACTGACCAGTCCAAGCAGTGCAACCACATCTTAAGTAGCCATAACGTCTTAACCACCATGGCCCTGGTCAAAGCATATGCATCTATGTGATGAAGGTACCAACACATTACATCAACAAGGAGTGCTTGCCATGCTCTGACCCCCTTTGCATCCCTGACCCATATCAATCATTAAACTTTTCATTGTATTCAGTAGAGCCCATTGCAATATTGAGATGATGTTCCCTCTTTCCAGTGCATTCTTGGAAGATTCCCAAGTATGGAAAGTTATTGGACATTGTTTGGCTTTATATCATTGGTGCTAGCTTCTGCATTATTGAAATGCCAGTATTACATTTGCCAGGACCAATGGCATGAGGCAAATCATTTTTGATCAACATTTGATGTTTGTTGCCTTTCACTTGTGCTTCATAGTTGCAATTTTCAAGTCCTGAAAACATTCTTGTACATTTCCTTTGTACTTTCTCCAGAGCAATTATGTCCTACTTCTAAAACAATGATCAGAACAAAATCCGCAAAATTCCACATGTGCCCAACCAGCATTTTATACAGTTCCAGCATACATCTCTGTTTTTATATTCTAGACTTCATCTAATATCAGAAAGTGTCACATATGCTTTCCCTACCACCTTATCTACCTATCCTACCAACATTCAGAGCCCTATGGATGTGCACATCAAGGTCTATCAATTGCTTTACACCCTCAATATTTTCCCATTATTATGTATTACTTTTTTTGGCCTCCCCATGTACATTACCTCACACTTCTCTGGATTGAATTCCACTTTACACTTTTCTACTCATCAATTAAAACATTGATATATTACTAAAGATGACAGCTATCCTCTTCAGTGTTGTGTCCTCTGCAAATTTCCCAACTATGTTTCCCATATTTAAGCCCATGTTGTTAATAAATATGACAGAGAGCAACAGATCCAACATTGAACCCTTTCTGTTTCAAAATCATCCATCAACTATTATTATTTGTTTTCTGTGACTGAGCCAATTGTGGATCCAAATTGCCACAGTCCCTTGTAGCCCATGAGCTGTTACTTTTCTGAGTGTGTCATGTAGTATTTTGTTAGATATCTTAGTAAAATTGATGTGGACAACATCGACTGCAGTAGCTTCATCAAACCTCTTTGTTATCCCTCAAAAAATTCAATAATTTTAGTAAGACAAGACCTTCCCTTAAAAAAAAACATACTGACTTATCCCCCATTAATCTAATCCTTTCTAAGTGACAGTCTATCCTGTAATTTGTCTACCATCAAAGTTAGATAGATTGGCCTATTACTCACAACAATTTACCCAATAGTACAATTTTTGCCAACCTCCAATCCTTTGGGACCTCACTCATATCCAGTGATGATTGAAAAACATTCCTCAGAACACCGATTATTTCCCCCTTGATTCATTTTATAGCTTGCTATAAAAAACATCAGGCCCTGTGATTCACCCATCTTTGAGGATGCAAGTCCATCTAGTATTTCCGCTCATATTATGATTACCGTAACTAATATTTTGCACTTTGTTCCCCTCTAATTCAAATGTCTGTATCCTTTGTGATGATGGAAACAAAGCACTTATTAAGATCTCTGTCAACACCTCTGCTTGAGATTCTCTCTAATTTTCTTACCAGCTATGCAGGCCTCCAAGTCCCATGTGTGACTTCAGGAATTCAGTGCCACTGTCAATCACCATGCATGGAACTTAGAGTGGCTGCATGCAGTTTAGAGGGAATGTTGCTCTGTATCCAAGCACAAGTTACATGGTACATTGCTGACATACCCAACCCTTTAATTAATAAAAATCATTCGGACAAACAGTATAGGACCCAATCCTAAGCCTTGTTGGACACAAGTGGAAACCTTTTTCCACCGTGAGGACATCCAAGAGCATTACCCTTTGCTTCCTTTCTTTTTCATTCATTCATTCATGGGATGTGGGTGTCCCTGACTGTACCAGCATTTATTGCCCATCCCAGTTGCCAAAAGGCAATTAAGATATAACTACATTACTGTGAGTCTGGAGTCTCATGTAAGCCAGACCAGGTAAGGATGGCAGAGTTCCTTTCCTAAAGGACATTAATGAACCAAATGGGGTTTTCCTGACAATCAGTTACAGTTTCATGGTCGCCATTAAATTCTTATTTCCAGATTACAATTGATTATCAAATTCTACCATCTGCCATGGCAGGAGTTGAAACTATGTCTGCAGAACATTACCTGGGTGTCTAGATGAATAGTCTAGTGATAAGACCACTAGTCCAACACCTACCCTTGTCCTATTAACTGTCAGGGATTTGATGTTGCTACAGAATGAGTGATATGACTAAAAGGCTCACATTATCATTATTACTTAATACCTCATTATTTTATTTCCAAGGCTGGAAAATGATAGCACTGTTGATCAAAAACATTTTAGTTGCATTGTCATGCCTATGAAAATTATATTAATTGTTCAATTTATGAAAACAGCACATTGCAATATGAGAATGCATGTGAGATTTACACACATTAGGAAAGATCAGACAGGTTGGGGTTTATTTGTCTAGTAGGCTAAGGGGTGATCGAAGGGAGGTCTTTAAAGTACTGAAAGGGTTTGATAAGATATAAGGGAGAAATTGTTTTCGCTTGTGATCTGGAAGTGAACTAGAGGCCATAAATATGAAACAGTCAGTAATAAATAGAGTAGGGAGTTCAGGAGAAGCCTTGTTATCCAAACAGTAGTAAAAAATGTAGAACATCCAGAAAAAGAATAGATGAGCTACACAGCACAGATTTATTTAAGGGGATGCTAGAAAAGGAGATGAGGGGGAAAGAAATAGAAAGACATGTTGATTAGATATATAGAGGAGTGGGAGGAGGCTTGTCCAAAGCAGTAGCACTGGCATACACCCAGTTAATGTAAATTGTGCTATGTGTGTGTGATTAACTCTGGGGGACAAGTTTGTTTGCGTACACAGTGGTACTACAGAGCCTCACCTCAATTCCCCAAGGCAGGCAATGTGGTCTTCTACGATAATATCAATGCTTTGCCTGGGGAATCGATTTGTGTGCATATGGCTGCTAGACTGTGAATGAATATCTCCTTTCTCAATGTAAATTGATCTAGTGCACAACTGTGCAAAATATTCCAAGAATGTGAATAACATCAGGAAACAGAATAATTGGCCACATTACTAATGTACATAGATTTTTTTTGTATGTATTCCATTGAATTCAATTATAATGATATTCCTTAAAGGGATATGAACTGAGAAACTTTAGCCACCAGTATTTGTAAATAAACTGGCATTTCATTCTGGTCTTTAAGTGAATCTGTGTGGAGTGGGATCATAACTTGCATAATCATTTGATTAAATTATGTTGCATAAAATTTCCAACTCTAAAACTGTTGACTTACAGGAAAAATAGAAGTTTTAACCCTTACCTTTCTCTACAGCTTCAGCTTGACATTGTCCTGAAAGAGAAAAGATGTGGCTTTCAGTGAAAAATAATTATAGCAGTGTTAGGCATGGGCAAAGACCACTTGACGTTAATGGGAATGAAAACAGAGAAAGTTGTGAAGACAACTAAATCACTATAATCAGTTTTGTACTATCCTTAAAGTCAAAATTACTGCCAGAGAATTGAAACTTACCTTATATATTACCACTACATTTGAGACGCATGCTAGTGGATGGTTTAGAATGGTGGAAATGGCAGATTATACTCTCCCAAGGGCTTGACAAGGGAGACAATTGTTATGATGGCTAGTATGAAAGTGGAGTTGAAGTGACAATCAGATCAGCTATGATACTAGCAAACAGTAGAATAGGCACAATTGGCCAAATGACCTACCCCTGCTCTAATCTTAAATGAATTTAAGATTTAATAAATGCTGTACTCAGGGCACTGCAAATGCATGCTTAAACGCCAGTGACAAATTAGCTAAGGGCATTTGTCCTGATAACTTTGGACGTACAGAGAAAATTTAAATTTCTACCACGTAGGTTGGGTTAAAATTATATTCACTAAATAAACAAGCCTTTTCTTCTTTTCCTTTTAACATTGCTGCACTAACTCATTCCAGTAAGTGTGCTGGTAGGAATTCTAAAGTTCCTAAGACAGTGAGGAGGTAACTCAACAGTAGTCCAGCAATTCCTAGTAGAGGGGCATAGAGTAGTACCTTGGCTGCTTAGCTTTGACTGTATTTATCTTGTAAGCAAAAAAACCAATGAACCATAAAAGTTTGCAAGGGAATATGATAGTGGGTGAAGAATCCAGCAAAATCTAAAGATATGAAGAGCCTTAATGGGAAGGCATCATTTAAATCAGCCCTCTGCTAATTCTGTTTTTATGTTCTGTGTAAAATTTATAAACTGGCAGGGTTAAGTAATAATTTAGCAGCAGAAGACTGCAGTTGGGGAGATGAGGGAATGCTTTCCAGCAATCAGCATAGGAGGGAAGCGCAGGGCTCATCAGGGACCAGAGTGGTGGGCTGTGTATGGATAGGGAAGATGTGGGCAAAGTCCTCAATGAATACTTTGTATCAATCATCATAATGGAATCTGATGATGCAGGCATAGGCATCGGGGAAAGCTGTGAAATTTAGAAGAAGATAACATAGAGAGAGAGGAGGTACTAAAGGTTTAGCAGACCTAAAAGTGCTTAATCTGCAGGCCTGCCTGAGATGTATCTCAGGTTGTTGAAGGAGGAAAGGGAGAAAACATCAGAGGTCCTGGCAGTAATTTTTAAATCCTTTCTGGCCTTGGGTAAGGTGCTAGAGAAAGAGGGGACTGCTAACATTCTTAAAGGATAGACCAAGAAATTACAGACCAGTCAGTCCAGCCTCAGTATTCTTGAAGTTATTGGAAAATATTGCAAGAGATAGAATATATCTGCACTTGGTGAGATAGAGATTGATCAGGGATAATCACTGTGGATTTGTCAAAGGTCATGTTTGACAAATTTGATCACATTTTTCAAGAAGTAACCAACATTTGTTGATTTGGCTAATGCATTTGATGTGGTCTACATGATCTTAGCAAGGCTTTTGACAAGGTGCCTCAAAGCAGGCTGGTTAAGAAAGTTAAGAGCCCATGGGATCTAAGGAAAATTGGCATATTGGATACAGAATTAGCTGTGAGGGAGGAAGCAGAGGGTGTTTCTGTGACTGGAATTTTGTTTCCAGTAGAATTCTTCAGGCCTCAATGCTGGGGCCCTTGTTGGTTGTGGTGTAAATTAATCACTTGGACATCAATGCAGGGGCTATGATCAAAAAATTTGAGAATGACATGAAAATTGGTAGTGTCATAACTAGAGAAATGATAATGTAAACTGCAGGAAGGTACTGATGGACCAGTCAGTTAGTCAAAACAGAGACAAATGGAATTCAACCTGGAAAAGTGTAAGGTAATCACCTAACAAAGCAAAAGATTACATTATGAATGGTAAGACTCTGGAAAGTACTGAAGATCAGAGAGACCACTATGTGTTTATCCACAGATTCCTGTAGGGAGCACAGCAGGTAGATAAGATGGTTAAGAAGGAATATAGAATGCTTGCCTTTATGAGCCAAGGTAGAGAATACAAGGAATTAATGTTAGAGCTGTGTGGACAGCTGGATTACTACATGCAGTTCTGATCATCACATTATAGGAAAGATGTGATTACACTAGAGAGGATGCAGAGGAGCTTTACCAGGATGCTGCCTGGGCTGGAGGATTTGAACTGTGAGGAAAGATTGGATATGTTGGGGCTATTTTCCTTGGAGAAGCAAAGGCTGCAAGAGGATGTGATAGGGGTAGATAAGATCATGAGGGGCACAGATAGGGCAGATGGGAAAGCACTCTTTTTCTGTGAGTGATGGGGTCAATAATCAGGGTAATAAGAGAAACGTTTCACTCAGAGCATAGTCAGAGTCTAGAACACATTTCCTGAAACTGTGGCTGAATCAGAAACTCTCATATTTAAGCAGTATCTAGATATTCACTTGTGTTGCGATAGCATTCAGGGCTATGGGACAAAAATTGGAAGATGGAATTTGTGAGCTCAGAACTTTGTTGACTGGTGGGGATGCAATGGGCCAAATGGCTTCATTCTATGTCATCCATGTCCATGAGTCAGTAAGTCTGAGGTTACTAGTCAATTTGTCATTAAATCCCACATAAATCAGAGAATATTGTCACTCTCTCACCATTCTGGTGATTGCTACTTTTCTATGTCTTTCTTGTTATGCCTCTATCTCTCTATTTTTACTTCTTGTTCTCTTAATTCCTGCTTTTGCTTCTCTGCCTGGCCTACCTACTCCACTGTTTTTATAGAGGCAGCTGTAGCGAACATGTGTTTATGGTCCACTCCTAACCATTGCTCCACCACCCAGGTTGCCCCATCCACTTTGCTCCTATTATGATAACTATCCATTCTCATTCTCACCACCCATTCTCCTCAGTCCTAGCAACTTTGTGCTACTTAATAGTCTTAAAGTCTCCTCTTCCCCTTGCTTCACTGCCTCGAAATAATCATTAGCTCCATCCATTGTCACCAGGAAGATGAATAATTAACTTCAAATTTAAACTGCTAAATGAGGAAACATGTCTCAGACATTTCTCACTCACGAATTATTAAACGTTTTAAACTAAATTGATGTGAAATCTGGTCACTCACAAAATTATTCAATATGAACTCTTCCTCAGTCAAGTCTGATATTTGTCTTCTAGTTTTAATTTTAATTTGAATAATTACTGGGTAGAAAACAGTTTAAATTAAAGAATCATATTCCTTCAAGCTGACTAAATGATACTACATGATGTATTCTGAGAAATAAGGTGTATTGTAAGTGCTCAGATTTCACATTTCAACTCACAGAGTTTCAGCCCTGGCTAAAACTATCAAGTTCATTTCAGAGACTTGTTTGTGATATCAGGTTTTCAAGTAAAAACTTAATTAAAATCATTGAAAAACACAAAGACAATACAGTAGAGCATTTTATTGTAACTTTTTAAACATGTTGAATGTAAAATATTCTGAGAATAAAAACGTTCAGTGAAGTTTCAGAACACATTTTATGTGATTTGTGGGATCCTGCTGAGCAGGTTAGATAATCTCACTAAAATGGCCTACATTTTGCAATTTGAATCAGGGGCAAATTGTTAACATTGCTGTTGTTACGATTGTAAAAGTGACAATTTTTGCGTTCTCACAAGCAAACTTAAATGAGGAAATCGAAAGGTTTGTGTTAATGATTCCACACCCCTCAATATAATCTTTTTAAAGAAGTTACCCCTTCTGAATAAACTGCTTTTAATGATAAATGTCATTTACAATTAATGCTCGCATAGTACAGTTTTATTCTAAAGTTTTATTTTTTTCTGCTGGTTTATTGCACTGAAAACTTCTCTTTTTTCCTCTTTATAGATGTTGATAGGCCATGTGTATATTTCTAACATGTTCATAAATAGTTCTTTGTTCTCTCTGTGTCAGCAATATTAGCTACATATTGATTTGTGACTAAATTGTCAGAGCTACATCTTCTTTTCAGCTAACAGTTGTCCTACAAGTCATTGTGGAATTGTCACTTTTTGATGTGGTGATTGTTCAGATATGGTCACTTGAGCCTGTCCAAAAAGTTATTATGATCAGACTGCACAAAACAGAAACAAGGTGCTAGGAGTAAATAAATATGGAAATATAATGAACTTGCAGACTCCCGCGATCTCCTAGCAGATCGTCAAGGAGACAGGGATTCCATGAAGGGTAAGGTGCAATGCAATCTGCATATAGTCATTGATAGCACAAAGCAAAATGATTGTGCCAGAGACTCAGAATGTCTTGCCTCTGAAGAAGACTAAATCATTACAGGTAATAGCATAAAAATAGGAGCAAGAGTTGACCGTACAGCCCTTCAAGACTGCTCCATCATTTAGAATAATCATGGCTGAATCTTCAATCTTACCTGCATTTTCTAATGACAGTATTTGGGAAGGGCATGTACATGTTCAGCTTAATTATTATCAGTGGGGTTACCAGTTTTCATTTAGAATGAATGTATTCTTTCCACTCTAAGTATAACATCTGTAAGAGGTCAAACAAAAAAAAAAGTTGTTTTCTTATACCCTAAGTCTTGTTTCTAGAGTGATTCTGTTGAGATTCCCTCAGTGCAACCATTTCTGTGATAACAGGAAATTGATCATTGAAATGTGAAAATAATTAATATTTTCTTCAGCAGGTAATCATAACTGTGATTGGCTTTTAATATATCTTTGTTTGTGGGCTTCTGAAGGAGAAGGGAATCCACGGTAAAGCATTTCTTTTACTTTACATAATACATGATCCTCCTTCCATCTTTATAATATGAGAAAAAAAATTAACTTTGTTGCAAACTTCCAAGTAGTCCAGCATGATTCACACATTGCAAACTTCCAAGTAGTCCACCATGATTCACACAAAATAATTACTATTTTAAGGCTTCTCTTGTCT